AAAATGAGATCATAGCTACAAAATAGGTCAAATAGTCCACTAACCTATCAAAACCTGTGGAGGAACGTCGTCCGCCACTTTCTTCTCGTGACCTGAAAAATGTTAAATAATGGGGTGAGCTAAACGTTTAGTAGGAAGTGTCTAAGACACACCTTTTATGACACCGTGAATCCACATAGAGAATAGAAAGTAAGAGAACGGGATCATATCTCGGGAGTCAAGTAAAACCACTGTATCATCAACAAACATACATATCTCAACCAACTACCAAATACACCACGTATGCCAATGATGTGCTATGCCATGCAATGTCACTCACCGTTTCTGAAACAATACCGTTTCAACATCCAAACCGTTAGTGTAATCCGACCTAAGGCACCTCTAAGGCATCACGAAAGGGGAATTGGCTAACCATCCACGACTACAAGGCACTTCCAAGGCATCGCATGCGGCCTGGTTAGCTCAACCACACTAGGGTCTCTCCCTAATCTCATCTCTAGACCACACTAACACCACGGACCATTAGGCAACTCCTAGGCATCCGGGCTTTCACAAACACTTTTCAAAAACGTTTCCCCAAAACAATTTCATTGGTTTAGAAAAAATACTTTTCCTTTTTTTTTTTTTTTCCCCAATGGATGCATGAATGCTTCATACTTCACAATTTACCATAATTTTCACATCTTCAAACCTTAACAACATTTCATACTAAAGAATAATTTTCTCATGAATTTATAGCATGTTTTAAGTTAACAAAATTTCTAGAATTACGCATATTAAACAAGGACATAATCACAAAAGCATGCTTTATATATCTAATCAACAAATCATACACACTTATATTATTTACACATAACACACATAGAGATACACATCATATATCTAGCATCATGGCAATTTCTCAAGAAAAATTTACAATAAATCCCATACATTCCATCTACATCATGATCACATTATTAAGGGAAATCCTAACATTTATTTTCATAATTTCAACATCACTTTCCTTAACAATTAAAAATCATGGGGCATCTAAAATGTCAATACTAAGCATGTATCTTCATCACCAAGTATATAATCATAATCATTGATTCAATTAACACATATAATACATCTATCACCTTAATTACATACAACCACAACAACATAGGTAAAATTGCTAAAATCAAACATGTTTAGAATCAAATTAAAAGGGAAACTCACAAAAGATCAAAGAAAACATGAATTAGAGCACCCCTACCTCAAAGAATGCAAAACCCCCAAATCAAGCCCTAGAATTCGAAATCCCAAGTGCTCCAAACTGAAAATTGCTCTGATCAAAACGTAGATCTCGATGCGCTTATGAACTTTGCTTTTTAAGGCAAAGTCTAACTCTCACAAGTGTGGCTTTGATCTAAGCTTGATAATGTTGAAAAAGAAAAGAAAAAATAACTGTGAGAGAAACAGAGAGTCTGTGTGGGAGAGAAAAAAAGAAACTAATGCTTGGAATGGCCTTAAAGCCATTATAATGGCTTATACACTATAGCAGGTCCCACAGCTTAATAACATAACATTAACATTATATATATATATATATATGTATATATATCATAAACATTACAGTTCTCTTACAGATGCGACTCTCGACCATCCCATTTGTGCCTGCCTTTTGCTGAATCTCTCTGCTCGGACTCTCTGCCTAGCCGTCGTCGGACCGATCATGCATTATTGTCGGTGACCTGTCTTATTCTCTTTACCAGATCTATACGCAAACCTTACTTCCCACTATTTCACTATCATCGGAATAACGAGTATTCTAGTCGTTAATTGCTGTTCAATCTGTTTCACGCTTAAAGCTGACCGCCGTCAGTTCTTTTGCTCCCCGTTGACCAAGCACTTCAATGCTCGTCGTTGGTTGGTTCTTCAGGTTCTCTGTTTGACGCCGGTCATCACCATTCCTTGCTGCTTATCCTTCTGTATGGTCGTCCTTGTTCGTCAATCTTGTCAGTCTGCTTCGTTCTGCTTGCTATTTATTCTATCCCGTATCGGCACCAGTGTTCTCTTCCTCGCCGTCTGCACCTTCTTCTTGTTCTCTGTTTGATGGGTTTGTAAATTTTTTTTTTTGGTGTCATTTCTTTTGGCAGATTGTTCCTCTTTGTTGGGGAAAGAGAAAAGAGCTTTGCACATGCACTGATAAGGGGATGTGAGACCCATTATATCACGCCTGATAGTTAAAAAAAAAAAAAAATTGTTTTCCTTATTTGGACTGTCCCAAACACAGTTTCATCAGATTTTGGCTTCAGAAGCCTTGGCCCGGTTCAGCTTTGGCCTTGTTTAGTTCAGAATTAATTTTTTTATTTTTTTATTTATTTTTTTTTTTTTTGCCTAGATCAGTTTTAGCCTGTTCATTTCAGCTTTGGCCCAGTTTCGGCGTTGCCGGCACAATTTCTTCACCGGCGTTACCGACTCTCGTTCCACCAGAGTTTTAAGGCCTTATTGTTGGTGACCAGCTAAGATTCGGCACAGTTGTTGAAGACTGACGAAGTTTCGGCCTATTGTTGATTACCGGCTTAATTCCGACCATTTACCGGCTTAGTTCCGATCATTTACCGGTTTAGTTCCAGCCTTTTACCGGCTTTGTTCTGGATCTTTTTCATTTCTCGGATGGATCACCTTGGTGTCTCCAGGTGTTGTTCCTGCCCATTTCTCGGCTTTGTTCCAACTATTTCCTTGCATTGTTCCGACTCTTTCCCGGTATTGTTCCAACTATTTCCTGGCTTTGTTCCGATTATTTCCCGACGTTGTTCTGGCCCTTTGGATGCTTTTTACTCCACCCCCATTTTCATGATTTCATCTTCAAACTCAATTTGGTTTCGACAAACCCATCTTGAGTTTGTGGGGGGAATATTGAAATATGTATTATATATATATATATATATATATATATATATATATATATTATATTTTGTTTCATTTTTCCTTCTTTCCTCCTTGATTTGTTTCTTTTCCCTTCTTTCCTCCTTGATTTACTCTTGATTTATTTCTATATATTGTATATCAATATAATGTAAACATCATCAAGAAATACAAGCAATAAGATAAATGTAACCTCAGTGGCTCTTGATCCATAGATGTAGGCCTTAGTGCCAAACCATGTATATATTGTGTTCTTAATCTTTCTCTGTTTTATCTTCCTATTTTACATCTTATATTTCCGCATTATAAATTTAACATCCTCGAGAATCCAATGGTCTCTACCTTGCACAAGTGCCACTGGTCGAACTTCCCCAGAATTGTAATCCAAAATAGTGATCAAGCTCTACAACCTCAATAGTAGAAATTTGTGATGTTCATCATCGCATCTTTGATCAGGAAAATGCAACGGGGTAATCAGGTGGATGATTGAGATGGGATTTTTGAGAGGTTTCACAAATCCCATTGCTCATTTAGTGTTTCTGATAAGTGCCAAAAGATGCACATCTCAGCCCTTATTCTTGCAAATGTTAGCACCTCATTTCTATCTTTATTCATCTTTTTAGTTTGATTTGTTTCCGATTTTAGGTGCTTAGGGCTAATTTGAGCCGAATCTAGCGCTTTAAGGCTTCAATGAAATTTTAGAGAAGAAGGGCAGCTGAAGAGGAGCAAAAATGCAAAATTGGCTCCACGCGATCAATCGTGTACGTGGACACCTCATCGTTCGCGACTCAGTTCGATCAAATTGCAATCCAGTGCTGATCTCAAGAAGATGAATCCAATGGAGGAACTTCAAGACCTCTTTCACCAGGGCTGCTCTTTGGGTTGGAGTTCGAACTTTGTTTGACATATGCTCCACTCGCTTGTTTGGAATGATTTTCTCTTTCATGTTGGTTGGAAGTTCTGTTCCTTATAGGTTCTGATCTTTATCTTTTGAGATGAATAAATGTTTGACGTTGTTTGTCTCTTTGGCTTTGTTTTGGTGATTTTGGGACTTTTTGTTGGCTACTTTGTTTGTTTGTTTTGTTTCTTTGTTCCCTGTTTTGTCTGGGAACTTTGTATAAATTCGTTTTCTTCTAATATAAAAGTTTATCATTCAACAAAAAAAAAAAAAATAATAATATGTAGATGGCACGCATTTGTATAATAGTCTCAAAAGGTTATGAGGACACTATGGACCAAAAGAACACATAACTACATAATATCGTACAAGTAATTAGTTTTGTTGAGTAACTTTTTCATCCAATATTTTTTTGGTGTTTGTCATATTATAATGATTATTGTCTCAAAAACTTGTAAAAAATAAATTGTCCCATTAAATTTTTAACAAAAACAAAATCAAATATCATTATTAATTTTTGACCAAATCTCTTCAATGTCTGGACCATTAGCGCCCACCTTGTATAATATAATCTCCTCTTCCTCAATCGGGAAGTGAGAAAAAGAAAATAATAATAAAAAAAGAAAAAGTATTGTTTTCCTCAATCGGGAAGTTAGAAAAAGAAAATAATAATAAAAAAAGAAAAAGTATAGTCAATTTCCATATGACCAATTAGATTGTCCAGCTCCGCCTGGACTTCTGGCAATACTGCTTCTTTTACCCGTCCACAAGTTTTTCATCACATCCCTGGTTTTGACGAATTATTCACACACACAATCCAATTAAACACATACTAAGCATTCCAACCATGGGATGTCAGGATGCTGGGATGCTTTCGGCGCCTGTGATAAAATGACAATTAATTATTGGGTAAAGTAAAAAGTTTTAAAAGAACGCTCTTTTGACAAAATGACAATTAATTAATTAAAAATTTGGGTAAATCGGTAATTGACTGGGCTACAGTCAATGAGTCTTCGTAGCTAGCCGCCCTGCCGGCCTGATCCATGCATGGATTAGTTGATTACGCCTTCGGCGATCGTTTCCTATGTTTACATTCTGAACCGGATTTTGATCCATCAAAATAAATATAAGTCTCGTTTTCTATGCATATATGTATTGTCTCCGTAGACTATAAGTAATCAAAGAAGAGTACTTCCATTACTATACCGAAATGGCTTCTATGATCAATATCATCTTCATTACTACTACTGCCCCTTATCTGTTTCTTTGCTTTCTTAGCCTCCTCACCACTCAAATTAGCTCCCAACCTCCTCATTACTGCTCAAATAAAAACACTTACACTCCTAACAGCACTTATAGAGCCAATCTCAATAACCTCCTCTCTGTACTCTCCTCTAAAGCAAACAGGGTACCCCAAAACGGATTCTTTAACTACACTACTGGTGATGACAAGGACCCCAACAACATGGTTTACGGCATGTTTATGTGCCGGGGTGATGTTACCACAGATGAATGTCAGGAGTGTGTTGCAATTGCTAGTAAGGGGATACTAGATGCGTGTCCCAATCAGAAGAAGGCTATAGCTTGGTATGAAAAGTGCTTTATAAGATTCTCAGACAACGCAGCCTTACTCACCGAATGGAACACTTCAGTTTCCATCACTCTGTGGAATCCACAGAACGTCACCAATGAGCCTGCGCGGTTTAGGCAATTGTTGAGGGATACAATGAACGAGTTAGTGACTCAGGCTGCGGATTTTACTGATGGATCTGGTAACAAGTTTGCAACTAAAGAAGCTAACTTCACAGCGTTTCAGAAGGTGTATGCGCTTGTGCAATGCACACCGGACCTGTCTGCTGATGGTTGCGACACCTGCCTCCAGGATGGTATCCCACTTCTTCTAGATTGCTGCGACGGAATGCACAAGCAGGGGGTCACAATTCTGTTTCCGAGCTGTAATATTCGTTACCAGTTCTACCCCTTCTATACCATGGTTGCCTCTGCACCAGCACCACCACCTCCTCCTCCAAAATCTAATTCTACTTCTGCCACAAAAGGTGAACCCCACATCGGATACATATAATTTTATTAATTCATGTAGGATATAATTATATTTATTAATGCATCCTATACATATAGTTTTATTGATGCATGTAGGATAATCAGGGAAGGGGGAAAAAAAAAAAAAAAAACAGGAAACCATTCTTGCGTCCCTCTCTCAATAATCTAGGGTTGGGTTTTCATCATCCCATTGTTATGAAAGGCTTGTGTTTCCATCTGAACGGATTTTAATTGGAGAGGTGGATGGATGGATTGAAGATCGAAACAAATTCATAATAAAATCCAAACAAGTGGAAAACTCTTTAATAGTTCTACACTATTAGAACTTAATTACTACCTTTTACAGAAAGTAACAAAATTTCTGTTAATTTATACCAGACTTGCGTCCATCTCTCAATAATCTAGGGTTAGGTTTTCATATTTCCATTGTTTATATATATATATAAGATTAAGCCTGGAGGGCTTATGTTTCCATCTAAACCTGGTCTAATTGGAGAGGTGCGTGGATGGAAGATCAAAACAAATTCATCACACTCAAAACTAGTTTTGATCTATAACTGATCTATATATATTCTCTCTCAGTTCACCACTGTAATTAATGATCAAAATTTTAATTTGAAATTTATACAAATATTGGACTTATTAACAAACGAATTATTTACTTTGTCAAGTTGAAAAGTGTGAAAATAATCATTTCAAAGAGACAATTTAATAGGTTTTTCACTAATAGATCTTATAGCATGAACTACTTTTTATAGAAAGTATTAAAATTTCTGTTAATTTATACCAGTTTAATTTGCGTCCATCTCTCAATAATCTAGGGTTGGGTTTTCATCTTTGCATTGTTATGGTGATAATATATATATATATATATATATATATATATATATACATACACCCTGAAGGGCATATATATGTTTCCATCTGAACCTAGTCTAGTTGGAGAGGTGGATGGATGGATTGAAGATCAAAACAATTTCAGAACAAACTCCAAACCAGTTTTAATGTATCACTTCTCTATATATATTTTATCTCTTTTCACTATTTTCATGAATAATTAAAATCGTAATTTGAAATTTATATAACAATTGGACTTGAACAAATTAATTATTTACTTTGTCAGGTTGATAAGAGTTAAAATATATAATCATTTGAAGATGATGTTTAATAAGTTTTACACTAATAGATCTTAACTTAAAGCATGTACTACGTTGTGTATAGAATGTAATAAAATTCCTGTTAATAGATGATCTTTTCCTTTTAATTCTTACTGTACAAAACTCCCACCACAATTCCATATTTGTTAGAATTACAAGGTCTTTCTCAGTTCTCAATACAAATCACTATTGGCCTCCACTGTCATTTGCCCTCCGATCTCACCCCAACTTGTTCATAATAGTCAAAGTTCAATTTTTCCAATTAAACCATTCAGCGATCAAAATCTACAACAATCATAAAACATCTAATACCATATAAAATTTCAATTTAAAAGCTAACCTAAATCAAGCTATCCATGGGAAAAAATTTCAAATTAGTTTCAAACTTACTGATTTTCTAAGCTATTGACTTAAGATGATATAAGCTTAGATATCGTGTATATTATAACATTTGGAGAATATATTATCTATTAGGATGTGTTTTCCTTGCATCGACAAGTTAATAAAGGTGACAGACATCATTTGGTGAAACTATCACAGTGGTATAACACCCTGTAATAACAGATGCTGTGGTTGTAATTATTAATTAGACATATATTGGGACCTAAAACCATAATACCATTAGGTAAATGTTAAGGTTCCATATAAAAATATAAAATTGGATCATTTCTATACTATTTCATCTTATTTATCTTTTTTTGTTTTCGTTGTAAATCAATTGTCAAGGTATATTGGCATAGAATTTTCACAATTTAGTTTTTGGTTGATGCAGGAAAAGGAGAAATCTCATCGCAAGTAATTATTACCATTGTTGTTTCAGTAGTTGTTGCACTTGTTCTTTTCTCCACTGGCTTTTTGTGCATAAAAAAGAAAGCAAGAGAGAGATGCAATGCTATACAAGAAGAACTTACTGGTAATACAAGAAAAATAAAAATTAAATGAAAAAAAATAACGAAATTTTTGTTTGTACCTGTCTGGACCATTTGCTTTTGTATATATTTACTGTTTGGTTTTGTAGTTGGAAAAGATTTGATAACAACACAATCCTTGCAATATGATTTGAGAACAATTGAAGCAGCCACAAATAACTTCTGTAATGATAACAAAATTGGTGAAGGTGGATTTGGTGCCGTCTACAAGGTAACAATTTACTTAGTTCTTCTACAAGCATTCCAAGATTCCACTCTTTGTGCCCTGATGACATACGTACTTACTATGATATTTGGAATAACAATTAATTGTTATCACATACATTCAGGGTACACTTCCTAATGGACAAGATATAGCAGTGAAGAGATTATCTAAAAGCTCCAGTCAAGGTGAAGAAGAATTCAAGAATGAGGTTATATTGGTTGCCAAGCTTCAACACAGAAATCTAGTGAGATTAGTGGGATTCTGTTTGAAAAGTCAAGAAAAATTACTCATCTATGAATTCGTCCCCAACAAAAGCCTCGACTACTTTCTATTCGGTTTGACCCTTCTCAACACATAACTATGTCCTTGAATTTCCTTTCTACTTAATTTTATTACAAATATGATTTTCATGAAGGCTATTAATTTCTCCTCTCAATTGTAGGAAATTTTAAGCAATTACTTTTAAAATATATATGAATCATATTACACGTGCAAGCAAAGTGTGTATATGACAACTACTGTTCAAAATTGTGAAACATTTCATGAAAATATAAATGCATGTGTGAAACAGGAACTAAAGACGATAGATTTCAACTTAGAATGTGTTAGGATTTCACATACACAATTAGCACCTAGAATAGATAAAAGCACACACACAAGCAAAACGAGATTTATGTGGTTCGGCAAATTGCCTACATCCACAGGCGAAGAAAGACTATCTTTACTTCAAATTTGTATTACTCACTTTTTCTTTTCTCACAAACTCAACTCATTTTTTCTCTTAATTTATAAAGTCTTCAAAAATAATTTTGAGACACAAACCAAACAATCTCCACCTTGGCTCAAAATTCATCTTCACATGCTCCTTCATAGCTCCACATTGACTGGAGATCTTTAGACATTGAACCTAACATCTTCTTTCTTCTTATCATTCTTCGCTACTCAAATAATTCCAAGTTCAAATAATTGAACCTAGAATCTACTTTCGCATCACCAAATCGTACTCTTCTTACTTTTGGAATAAAGGTTGGTGCTTTTGCAATTGCCGAGACTTCTTCCTTCTCTTGATCTTCCAATTTAGTAGATCTCGAAACAGGCTTCCATTCTGTTTTTACAATTGCTCCACCTAGCATAGTATTTCCTAACAAAATATAGAGATTATTGACCTTCCTTCCCAAAAGCATAACATGTGGTCCCCTTCTAATCTTCATTAATCCATTATTCGATTACTTCACACTAATAACCCTTGGAATCCAATTCCGACATAGATTACTTTCCTTCTAAAACTTGGAATTAGAATATGATGTAAATTCATTTGAATTATTACCAAACCATTCGTTGTCTTGATTTTGATTGTTCTAATTCCCATAACATCACAAGAAGCATTATTCCCCATAATTACCTCACCACCTACAGATTTGTGTAGCAAATCACTCTTTATGAGGACACATATAAAAGGAACTCGCAGAATCAAGTATCCAATCCTTAACTTCTCCCTTATTATCAATGATTGATAATGATTCATCATTATCATCTTTCTTTCGTATCCCATGACACAACAGTAGCAGCGGATGCGCTCTCCTTTGTTTCTGGACAATACCACTGAATATGCCTTTTTCTTTCACACTTGTAGCATCTTTTCTTGGCACAAGATTTCTTGAAGCTCTAAATCTCTTCTTCTCTTGAGCAATAAGAGCTTGAGCCTGAGCATCACGACTCTTTTCATTATTCAACTTGTTCCACTGAGATTGTATCTCACATATAAAGCAAAGTATTGAATAAATGCTTATGGGTAGAACGTATTGATGTTAACAAAATAATTATTTTAACCTCATCACTTAACTTGACATCAACTTTAGATAAATCACAAATAATTTTGTTGAACTCACCAAGATATTCTTATAGGCTTACCCTTTCTTTTCTCCTAAAGTAATACAACTTTTGCTTCAAGACTAATCGGTTGGTGAGATTCTTTCCCATATACAAATTTTCCAACTTCTTCTGCATGTTCGCTGTTGAATCTTCTTCTATCACATCATACACAATATCATCCACCAACATCAATCGAATCACACTCATCCATTTCTTCAATCTTTTTCGGTTTCTTAACCAAAGTTTCTCCTAGTCCTTGCTGAATTAGTAAATCTCGCATCCGAACTTGCCAAATACTGAAATTCCTTCTTCCATCAAATTTCTCGACCACGTACTTTCCTTCTGTAATAGTTGCTACCATGGCTCTGATACCACTTGTTAGGATTTCACACACACAATTGGCAACTAGAACAGATAAAAGCAAACACATGCACAAGTAAAACAAGATTTATGTTTTTTCGGTAAATTGCCTACATCCACAGGAGAAGAATGACTATTTTTACTTCAAATCTTTATTACACACTTTTTCTCTTCTCACAAACTCAACTCATTTTTTCTCTTTCTACAATCATCTCTTTTTTCCTCTCTACCTTACCCAAACCCATATATATTTGTAGTCTCTTAAAAAATCCAATTCCTTGTTGGACAAGAATTATACCACTTGTTTACAAGGAGTCACCAAATCATTTTTAAGTCTAAAATAGAAATTTATTAAGACAAAATTTCTTTCACAAATTTCAGTCTTCCAAGACAGAAAAGGAAACTAATTTATGCAATTTTATCCATTATCTCTCCATGATTTTATATAAATTACTTTTATGTACATGATTAAGTATAGCAGTTGTACACATTGTTATATATATTGTAAAACATTCACATAGGATATCAAGTGAGAAGAAATGTCTTCCACATCTCTCTTTTTACTAATTTTTTTCATGAAATCGAAGCAGGCAAGGACTTGTGTTCAAAACTAATGGTCACCGATGATAAAAATCAAAACACTGTTGGAAAAATAGAAAGCCACTCATGAGGGAGTGTATTGAAGGATTTGTATATTAAAGTTATACCCTCAAACATTTGGAGTTTATATTTCCCTGTTTGATTAACTGTATTAAATTATTATATAATAGTATTAATTTTAATGATGATCAATGTACAGATTCAGAAAAAGGAAAACAACTGGATTGGTCAAGGCGTTACAAGATTATAGGTGGCATAGCACGAGGAATTCTTTATCTACATGAAGATTCGCAACTTAAAGTTATACATCGGGATCTCAAAGCTAGCAATGTATTATTAGACGGGGACATGAATCCAAAAGTTTCAGATTTTGGCATGGCGAGAATTTTCTGTTCGGATCAAACCGAAGGAAGCACAAGTAGAATAGTTGGGACTTTGTAAGTTCCTAAGTCTTGCATCCTCCATTTCTGTTTTCATAATCTAAATTAATAAATGTATAGATTACTGGTCCGACTAGAATGTCTAATGGAAAATAATACACTTCAGTATATGCATGCTTACTTTAATATATTTAATCTATGTTTTTTTTGATGATTTCTTCTTTGTTGAGCTTTTGTGCATCATGTCATCAATACAGAATATTTATCTATGATTAAAAAACCTTGTTTGTAAATTGTTTCTTCTTGTCTTCTTATTTTTGGATTGTAGTGGTTACATGTCTCCAGAATATGCCATGCAAGGTCAATTTTCTGTGAAGTCTGATGTGTTTAGTTTTGGAGTCTCAATTTTGGAAATTATAAGTGGCAAGAAGAATAGTAGCTTCTATCAATCATATGGTCCTGGTGGCCTTTTGAGCTATGTGAGTATAGACAAAATATTGCAATTGTTGTTTTTCTTTGTCAATGCAAATATCGCATTTCAACGTTCAAGAAAATAAGTGTCAATTTCTTCTTTTTCTTGCAGGCTTGGAAACATTGGAGAGACGGAACACCCTTGGAAATAATGGATCCTATTCTGAGAGATTCTTATTCAATGGATGAAATTATTAGATGCATCTATATAGGCCTCTTGTGTGTTCAAGAAGATATGGATGCCAGGCCCTCTATGCCTTCTGTAGTTCAGATGCTCAACAGTTCTCTTGATACCCTACCACTGCCTCAGCAACCTCCATTTTCTGTCCGTGGTAGGACAAATCAGTTGAAGTCCGCAAACAGAACGGAGTTGTTTTCTTTGAATGAAGTATCAATAAGTGAACTAAATCCTCGATAATGTTACTGAATTTATGAATGTTTGAAATTGTAAATAGTTAAATAAGCTAGCTGAAGCTCACAAGATATAGAAACGTACATACTGAAGTTGAAAGACTTCGAAATCAAAATAAATTCCAAATTGTGCATGCTATATATTTAGAGTATACAAGGTAAAAATTTAGTTAGTTCGTGTATAGGCATTTCAAAAGTTTTCAAATTTTTTAGAGCAAATAAAACTCTCACAGGGCACTTGCATAATGACGAGAACTGTTCAAAGATATGAAACATTTCTTGGGCAATATAACTGAGTATATGGAACTAAAACATCTGAAGTTCTAATTTTCTTCTCTTTAAATTTGTCTTTGAAGTGAATTGTTCCGCAATATATATATATATACTAGAAAAATATATATTATCTTCTCTTTAAATTTGTCTCTGAGAAATGATTATTGATTTTTTTATTTTTTTTTTTCGCACTATATTTATATATATACTAGAAAAATATATAATTATCTTCTCTTTAAATTTGTCTTTGAGAAATGATTAGTGATTTTTTTTTTCCCCCATAAATTGCTTTAGATTCTTTGTGCAGTATAATGAAGAAGTCGACAAAAATAAAATTTGTATATCTAACATCATAATATAAATAAACATGTTTATGTTGTGTTAAATACTTAATCAAGTGACTTCAATAATTAGAATTATATTGAGTAAACTCATTGTGAAAAATATTGTACAAGAAAGAAAAAGAGATTAATAAATTAGGCTCAATTGAAATACAAAGTTGCACTACTGTAACTCTCCAAAAGTAGATTAAGAAGAAGATGATAAATCATCAAGAATGACATCAAGGAGTCATGAAGGTCTTACCTAGCTAGCTAACTCATGTGCCACTCGATCTATTGCATAATCTAGGACACCAAACCAGCTAAAGACCCAAATTAACTTTTAACAGAAATTTTATATCATCAACAACAATGGATCAGATGTCTTGAGGGTAACTCCTTTCTTTTCTATCACCTTTGCAATAAACCAACTAATAATTGAAAATTAAATTTTTTTATTTTTTATTTTTAAAGAAATGCTATCAAATTCGAACCACAAATTCTGTGAAAGAGGTCAAAGATTGGATAATGTTAAATAACGACGTTTTGGGAGAGAGAAATTTTAAAGATGGTGTTACTGTTTGCAGGTAAAAAAAAAAAAAAATAAGACTCCTACATGGAAAATAAGACTCACGACAAATGACGTCCTTGCCAGGACTAGAATAAATGGAAAGGGTAACAAACCTTGCTCTCACAAGAGACTGACGACTCGCACCTGGATGCACCCGACACCTTGTCACATGCTACACACCAACTGTCCAACCATGGACACCTAATCTCACATGAGATGAACTAAACTCCTTACACATAAGGAGAAGAACCAAATGGATACCCGTATGGAACTATAAACTTAATTCTCGGCGACCTCGCCACTAACGAACCATCATACACTATCAATACAGAAACCTTGCGTATGATACCCCGCAACGCCCAGGCTAACCAAAACCAATCAGATCCCTACCACCTATTTGTCGAGTACTAAGATATAACTCACAACACAACTATCGGACAAGAGTATTAATGCTCACAACATACCAACACTAGAAATGATCACAACCCATTAGACACCGCATCCCGTCACTCCCAAATAACAATCCCTATGCTATAAAATGGCATTTTACCACTCGTTCCATTATTACCTTCCCAGACGATATTACCTCGATCACCGTGCACTGTTGACTTGTGACCTCAGTCACAACAACCCACTGACTCGTCAAAAGAAAAAGGTGTCTATCTGGCAACATCGTCCTCTTTGGCTCTAAAGACTAAACCGACCATAATCGCCTCAACTGGCACACAATCCCATCACCTACCTGACAACATGCAACAACAACTCATACTCTCCAATCCACCCTCCAATCTTACCCCAAACCATTCTGTTCATCAATAATAAACATCACGCCATAATGCCTCTACTTCCAAAATCCTCGAATGACAACTCAAACCTCTCATCTCACCAGATTGCCAAGTCATTACCAAGCAATTCCTTCTATGACACCATCATAACAAAATAATAAGCATTACTCTTAATACCTCCCACATAGCCACTACTTGCCACTAGAAAAGAATCTCTATATGGCAATACCATTCCGATAAATCCTAAAGGAAAAATGAGCACAAAAACCAGAATGCTCAACATCCAAATGTCTCCTCAAACCATCTACAATGCAATCAATCACCAACGCTTAACCGGCCACCCTAACCATTCTTTCTAAGATAATCTACATTCCTTAACAAGAAAGCTTCATACCCCATGTTCAACGTCACTACTTCCTCTCTTCCCCGTTCCTTAGAACCCCCTTGGCCCCGACAAAAGTTAAATGGGGCTACCAACTATACCTACAAGATCAACTTCGTCCCAATCATTCTTATCATCAGTCTACCTCTGTGGATCTTCAAACAAATAGCACTATCTCTTGATACCCCAGACATAATTAAAATATAACTCCAGTCCACATCCTTCAATTTCTAAAACACAGTCCATTTAGTATATAATACCCACAATCTATCACCTCATCTGCAATCGACCAGCACTTCAATGACCCCATACTACCTGCCTTATTGTACAACCTTGCATTACCCAGCTAAAATTGACCATTATACGACACCTCGAGATTCTCTTGACAACAGTGCCAACCCATAAACCCGCTCATTGACCGAGCCATGCAATCAACTCACCATGAGTCAATTACCCGCGGCACACTCCTGTAGTTTCCCAGAATGGGAATCACCTTTTAACCAACGATAACCAACACACTTTCTTAGACTGTACCAGAACATTTGCAATACACATCTACAACCCATAAACTACATTCGTGACTCAAACAACCTCTATCACACCTACCACGACCAGTTCAAAAAGAACCTCCGCACCAAACCGTGACCCAAGTCATAAATACTAACCTCCTAAAGTCATGCCAAACCCTTACTCACAAACTTGACCTTCACAGTCACGGGAACCCATCCACCGATGCATGAAACTCACAAACAATGAGGACACCATGCCATGGAATATGAACCCATTCCACAGTCGTGCTCTGAGCACTGCACAAAATGCAACAAGAAGATTAAAATGACTACAAACCAAATAGCTCAATCCAAGAGCTAAAAGTCTAAGCCAAATGTTCGATAAGAACTGGCACCCAACAACCTTAGAGCAACCGAGCTCCTTGCCTACTCAGGTCAAAACTCACACAACTATCTATACGCAACAGGTACTCTACCGTATTAGCAACCATCACATACTCATCCGTATATACGCATAAGAATATAGGTATATATATAAGACATGCATATATATACATATGTATACATAATAACAGGGATATAAACCTTGACACGACCGTGTCTTATCACATAAGTTTTAAACAATAAGTCCATTAATTTATTATGTGAAATTAAACATCCCGTTCATCCTCATTATCATTTCCTATAATACCCACTTGCACAACCCTTGCTCAACTGTCCATCACATTACCATGCACCACTTACATGTCATAACCCACACTCACTACTTGCCATCATATCACGTATAATATGTTTCAATCATTATCACATAGATATTCCATATACGTGGCTATGTAACACATATTTTTAACATTTAATTACGTAAGCATGTGAACACCTATCAAGAAAGCATGTCTTTTAAAACCATAACACATAAGTAATTAAGCAAGTAAGCATGCTTCATAAAACAGTAAGTACATAAACACCAACAAGTAATCAACGTAGGTCAACCTTTTACCCCTCTAGGCAAGCCACTACCCGTCGTCCTTAGGTTTTCGAACCTAAAGCTCTGATACCAAATTTGTAACGACCCGAACCCGATGGTCCGAATCGCTAACTGAGTCCTTGCCCAAACTCGAGGTTAGCTAAAGACGTTATCATCATTTCCTTTGTCAATACATAATAGATGTGTCATCCCAGGGTTTATAAATAATAATAATAAAATGAGATCATAGCTACAAAATAGGTCAAATAGTCCACTAACCTATCAAAACCTGTGGAGGAACGTCGTCCGCCACTTTCTTCTCGTGACCTGAAAAATGTTAAATAATGGGGTGAGCTAAACGTTTAGTAGGAAGTGTCTAAGACACACCTTTTATGACACCGTGAATCCACATAGAGAATAGAAAGTAAGAGAATGGGATCATATCTCGGGAGTCAAGTAAAACCACTGTATCATCAACAAACATACATATCTCAACCAATTACCAAATACACCACGTATGCCAATGATGTGCTATGCCATGCAATGTCACTCACCGTTTCTGAAACAATACCGTTTCAACATCCAAACCGTTAGTGTAATCCGACCTAAGGCACCTTTAAGGCGTCACGAAAGGGGAATTGGCTAACCATCCACGACTACAAGGCACTTCCAAGGCATCGCATGCGGCCTGGTTAGCTCAACCACACTAGTATCTCTCCCTAATCTCCTCTCTAGACCACACTAACCCCATGGACCATTAGGCACCTCCTAGGCATCCGGGCTTTCACAAACACTTTTCAAAAACATTTCCCAAAACAATTTCATTGGTTTAGAAAAAATACTTTTCCTTTTTTTTTTTTTTTCCCCCAATGGATGCATGAATGCTTCATGCTTCACAATTTACCATAATTTTCACATCTTCAAACCTTAACAACATTTCATACTAAAGAATAATTTTCTCATGAATTTATAGCATGTTTTAAGTTAACAAAATTTCTAGAATTACACATATTAAACAAGGACATAATCACAAAAGCATGCTTTATATATCTAATCAACAAATCATTCACACTTATATTATTTACACATAACACACATAGAGATACACATCATCTATCTAGCATCATGGCAATTTCTCAAGAAAAATTTACAATAAATCCCATACATTCCATCTACATCATGATCGTATTATTAAGGGAAATCCTAACATTTATTTTCATAATTTCAACATCACTTTCCTTAACAATTAAAAATCATGGGACATCTAAAATGTCAATACTAAACATGTATCTTCACCACCAAGTATATAATCATAATCATTGATTCAATTAACACATATAATACATCTATCACCTTAATTACATACAACCACAACAACATAGGTAAAATTGCTAAAATCAAACATGTTTAGAATCAAATTAAAAGGGAAACTCACAAAAGATCAAAGAAAACATGAATTAGAGCACCCCTACCTCAAAGAATGCAAAACCCCCAAATCAAGCCCTAGAATTCGAAATCCCAAGTGCTCCAAACTGAAAATTGCTCTGATCAAAACGTAGATCTCGACGCGCTTATGAACTTTGCTTTTTAAGGCAAAGTCTAATTCTCACAAGTGTGGCTTTGATCTAAGCTTGATAATGTTGAAAAAGAAAAGAAAAAATAACTGTGAGAGAAACAGAGAGTCTGCGTGGGAGAGAAAAAAAGAAACTAACGCTTGGAATGGCCTTAAAGCCATTATAATGGCTTATACACTATAACAGGTCCCACAGCTTAATAACATAACATTAACATTATATATATATATATATATATATATATGTATGTATTATAAACATTACAGTTCTCTTACAGATGCGACTCGACCATCCCATCTGTGCCTGCCTTTTGCTGAATCTCTCTGGTCGGACTCTCTGCCTAGCCGTCGTTGGACCGATCATGCATTATTGTCGGTGACCTGTCTTATTCTCTTTACCAGATCTATACGCAAACCTTACTTCCCACTATTTCACTATCATCGGAATAACGAGTATTCTAGTCGTTAATTGCTGTTCAATCTGTTTCACGCTCAAAGCTGACCGCCGTCAGTTCTTTTGCTCCCCGTTGACCAAGCACTTCAATGCTCGTCGTTGGTTGGTTCTTCAGGTTCTCTGTTTGACGCCGGTCATCACCATTCCTTGCTGCTTATCCTTCTGTATGGTCGTCCTTGTTCGTCAATCTTGTCAGTCTGCTTCGTTCTGCTTGCTATTTATTCTATCCCGTATCGGCACCAGTGTTCTCTTCCTCGCCGTCTGCACCTTCTTCTTGTTCTCTGTTTGATGGGTTTGTAAATTTTTTTTTTGGTGTCATTTCTTTTGGCAGATTGTTCCTCTTTGTTGGGGAAAGGGAAAAGAGCTTTGCACATGCACTGATAAGGGGATGTAGGACCCATTATATCACGCCTGATAGTGAAAAAAAAAAAAAAATTGTTTTCCTTATTTGGACTGTCCCAAACACAGTTTCATCAGATTTTGGCTTCAGAAGCCTTAGCCCGGTTCAGCTTTGGCCTTGTTTAGTTCAGAATTTTATTTTATTTTATTTTATTTTATTTATTTATTTTTTTTGCCTAGATCAGTTTTAGCCTGTCCATTTCAGCTTTGGCCCACCGGCGTTACCGACTCTCGTTCCACCAGAGTTTTAAGGCCTTATTGTTGGTGACCAGCTAAGATTCGGCACAGTTGTTGAAGACTGACGAAGTTTCGGCCTATTGTTGATTACCGGCTTAATTCCGACCATTTACTGGCTACCGGTTTAGTTCCGGCCTTTTACCGGCTTTGTTCTGGATCTTTTTCATTTCTCGGATGGATCACCTTGGTGTCTCCAGGTGTTGTTCCGGCCCATTTCTCGGCTTTGTTCCAACTATTTCCTTGCATTGTTCCGACTCTTTCCCGGTATTGTTCCAACTATTTCCTGGCTTTGTTCCGATTATTTCCCGACGTTGTTATGGCCTTTTGGATGCTTTTTACTCCACCACCATTTTCCTGATTTCATCTTCAAACTCAATTTGGTTTCGACAAACCCATCTTGAGTTTGTGGGGGGAATATTGAAATATATATATATATATATATATATATATATATATATATATATTATATTTTGTTTCATTTTTCCTTCTTTCCTCCTTGATTTGTTTCTTTTCCCTTCTTTCCTCCTTGATTTACTCTTGATTTATTTCTATATATTGTATATCAGTATAATGTAAACATCATCAAGAAATACAAGCAATAAGATAAATGTAACCTCAGTGGCTCTTGATCCATAGATGTAGGCCTTAGTGCCAAACCATGTATATATTGTGTTCTTAATCTTTCTCTGTTTTATCTTCCTATTTTACATCTTATATTTCCGCATTATAAATTTAACATCCTCGAGAATCCAATGGTCTCTACCTTGCACAAGTGCCACTGGTCGAACTTCCCCAGAATTGTAATCCAAAATAGTGATCAAGCTCTACAACCTCAATAGTAGAAATTTGTGATGTTCATCATCGCATCTTTGATCAGGAAAATGCAACGGGGTAATCAGGTGGATGATTGAGATGGGATTTTTGAGAGGTTTCACAAATCCCATTGCTCATTTAGTGTTTCTGATAAGTGCCAAAAGATGCACATCTCAGCCCTTATTCTTGCAAATGTTAGCACCTCATTTCTATCTTTATTCATCTTTTTAGTTTGATTTGTTTCCGATTTTAGGTGCTTAGGGCTAATTTGAGCCGAATCTAGCGCTTTAAGGCTTCAATGAAATTTTAGAGAAGAAGGGCAGCTGAAGAGGAGCAAAAATGCAAAATTGGCTCCACGCGATCAATCGTGTACGTGGACACCTCATCGTTCGCGACTCAGTTCGATCAAATTGCAATCCAGTGCTGATCTCAAGAAGATGAATCCAATGGAGGAACTTCAAGACCTCTTTCACCAGGGCTGCTCTTTGGGTTGGAGTTCGAACTTTGTTTGACATATGCTCCACTCGCTTGTTTGGAATGATTTTCTCTTTCATGTTGGTTGGAAGTTCTGTTCCTTATAGGTTCTGATCTTTATCTTTTGAGATGAATAAATGTTTGACGTTGTTTGTCTCTTTGGCTTTGTTTTGGTGATTTTGGGACTTTTTGTTGGCTACTTTGTTTGTTTGTTTTGTTTCTTTGTTCCCTGTTTTGTCTGGGAACTTTGTATAAATTCGTTTTCTTCTAATATAAAAGTTTATCATTCAACAAAAAAAAAAAAAATAATAATATGTAGATGGCACGCATTTGTATAATAGTCTCAAAAGGTTATGAGGACACTATGGACCAAAAGAACACATAACTACATAATATCGTACAAGTAATTAGTTTTGTTGAGTAACTTTTTCATCTAATATTTTTTTGGTGTTTGTCATATTATAATGATTATTGTCTCAAAAACTTGTAAAAAATAAATTGTCCCATTAAATTTTTAACAAAAACGATATCAAATATCATTATTAATTTTTGACCAAATCTCTTCAATGTCTGGACCATTAGCGCCCACCTTGTATAATATAATCTCCTCTTCCTCAATCGGGAAGTGAGAAAAAGAAAATAATAATAAAAAAAGAAAAAGTATTGTTTTCCTCAATCGGGAAGTTAGAAAACGAAAATAATAATAAAAAAATAAAAAGTATAGTCAATTTCCATATGACCAATTGGATTGTCCAGCTTGGCCTGGACTTCTGGCAATACTGCTTCTTTTACCCGTCCACAAGTTTTTCATCACATCCCTGGTTTTGACGAATTATTCACACACACAATCCAATTAACACATACTAAGCATTCCAACCATGGGATGTCAGGATGCTGGGATGCTTTCGGCGCTTGTGATAAAATGACAATTAATTATTGGGTAAAGTAAAAAGTTTTAAAAGAATGCTCTTTTGACAAAATGACAATTAATTAATTAAAAATTTGGGTAAATCGGTAATTGACTGGGCTACAGTCAATGAGTCTTCGTAGCTAGCCGCCCTGCCGGCCTGATCCATGCATGGATTAGTTGATTACGCCTTCGGCGATCGTTTCCTATGTTTACATTCTGAACCGGATTTTGATCCATCAAAATAAATATAAGTCTCGTTTTCTATGCATATATGTATTGTCTCCGTAGACTATAAGTAATCAAAGAAGAGTACTTCCATTACTATACCGAAATGGCTTCTATGATCAATATCATCTTCATTACTACTACTGCCCCTTATCTGTTTCTTTGCTTTCTTAGCCTCCTCACCACTCAAATTAGCTCCCAACCTCCTCATTACTGCTCAAATAAAAACACTTACACTCCTAACAGCACTTATAGAGCCAATCTCAATAACCTCCTCTCTGTACTCTCCTCTAAAGCAAACAGGGTACCCCAAAACGGATTCTTTAACTACACTACTGGTGATGACAAGGACCCCAACAACATGGTTTACGGCATGTTTATGTGCCGGGGTGATGTTACCACAGATGAATGTCAGGAGTGTGTTGCAATTGCTAGTAAGGGGATACTAGATGCGTGTCCCAATCAGAAGAAGGCTATAGCTTGGTATGAAAAGTGCTTTATAAGATTCTCAGACAACGCAGCCTTACTCACCGAATGGAACACTTCAGTTTCCATCACTCTGTGGAATCCACAGAACGTCACCAATGAGCCTGCGCGGTTTAGGCAATTGTTGAGGGATACAATGAACGAGTTAGTGACTCAGGCTGCGGATTTTACTGATGGATCTGGTAACAAGTTTGCAACTAAAGAAGCTAACTTCACAGCGTTTCAGAAGGTGTATGCGCTTGTGCAATGCACACCGGACCTGTCTGCTGATGGTTGCGACACCTGCCTCCAGGATGGTATCCCACTTCTTCTAGATTGCTGCGACGGAATGCACAAGCAGGGGGTCACAATTCTGTTTCCGAGCTGTAATATTCGTTACCAGTTCTACCCCTTCTATACCATGGTTGCCTCTGCACCAGCACCACCACCTCCTCCTCCAAAATCTAATTCTACTTCTGCCACAAAAGGTGAACCCCACATCGGATACATATAATTTTATTAATTCATGTAGGATATAATTATATTTATTAATGCATCCTATACATATAGTTTTATTGATGCATGTAGGATAATCAGGGAAGGGGGAAAAAAAAAAAAAAAAAACAGGAAACCATTCTTGCGTCCCTCTCTCAATAATCTAGGGTTGGGTTTTCATCATCCCATTGTTATGAAAGGCTTGTGTTTCCATCTGAACGGATTTTAATTGGAGAGGTGGATGGATGGATTGAAGATCGAAACAAATTCATAATAAAATCCAAACAAGTGGAAAACTCTTTAATAGTTCTACACTATTAGAACTTAATTACTACCTTTTACAGAAAGTAACAAAATTTCTGTTAATTTATACCAGACTTGCGTCCATCTCTCAATAATCTAGGGTTAGGTTTTCATATTTCCATTGTTTATATATATATATAAGATTAAGCCTGGAGGGCTTATGTTTCCATCTAAACCTGGTCTAATTGGAGAGGTGCGTGGATGGAAGATCAAAACAAATTCATCACACTCAAAACTAGTTTTGATCTATAACTGATCTATATATATTCTCTCTCAGTTCACCACTGTAATTAATGATCAAAATTTTAATTTGAAATTTATACAAATATTGGACTTATTAACAAACGAATTATTTACTTTGTCAAGTTGAAAAGTGTGAAAATAATCATTTCAAAGAGACAATTTAATAGGTTTTTCACTAATAGATCTTATAGCATGAACTACTTTTTATAGAAAGTATTAAAATTTCTGTTAATTTATACCAGTTTAATTTGCGTCCATCTCTCAATAATCTAGGGTTGGGTTTTCATCTTTGCATTGTTATGGTGATAATATATATATATATATATATATATATATATATATATATACATACACCCTGAAGGGCATATATATGTTTCCATCTGAACCTAGTCTAGTTGGAGAGGTGGATGGATGGATTGAAGATCAAAACAATTTCAGAACAAACTCCAAACCAGTTTTAATGTATCACTTCTCTATATATATTTTATCTCTTTTCACTATTTTCATGAATAATTAAAATCGTAATTTGAAATTTATATAACAATTGGACTTGAACAAATTAATTATTTACTTTGTCAGGTTGATAAGAGTTAAAATATATAATCATTTGAAGATGATGTTTAATAAGTTTTACACTAATAGATCTTAATTTAAAGCATGTACTACGTTGTGTATAGAATGTAATAAAATTCCTGTTAATAGATGATCTTTTCCTTTTAATTCTTACTGTACAAAACTCCCACCACAATTCCATATTTGTTAGAATTACAAGGTCTTTCTCAGTTCTCAATACAAATCACTATTGGCCTCCACTGTCATTTGCCCTCCGATCTCACCCCAACTTGTTCATAATAGTCAAAGTTCAATTTTTCCAATTAAACCATTCAGCGATCAAAATCTACAACAATCATAAAACATCTAATACCATATAAAATTTCAATTTAAAAGCTAACCTAAATCAAGCTATCCATGGGAAAAAATTTCAAATTAGTTTCAAACTTACTGATTTTCTAAGCTATTGACTTAAGATGATATAAGCTTAGATATCGTGTATATTATAACATTTGGAGAATATATTATCTATTAGGATGTGTTTTCCTTGCATCTACAAGTTAATAAAGGTGACAGACATCATTTGGTGAAACTATCACAGTGGTATAACACCCTGTAATAACAGATGCTGTGGTTGTAATTATTAATTAGACATATATTGGGACCTAAAACCATAATACCATTAGGTAAATGTTAAGGTTCCATATAAAAATATAAAATTGGATCATTTCTATACTATTTCATCTTATTTATCTTTTTTTGTTTTCGTTGTAAATCAATTGTCAAGGTATATTGGCATAGAATTTTCACAATTTAGTTTTTGGTTGATGCAGGAAAAGGAGAAATCTCATCGCAAGTAATTATTACCATTGTTGTTTCAGTAGTTGTTGCACTTGTTCTTTTCTCCACTGGCTTTTTGTGCATAAAAAAGAAAGCAAGAGAGAGATGCAATGCTATACAAGAAGAACTTACTGGTAATACAAGAAAAATAAAAATTAAATGAAAAAAAATAACGAAATTTTTGTTTGTACCTGTCTGGACCATTTGCTTTTGTATATATTTACTGTTTGGTTTTGTAGTTGGAAAAGATTTGATAACAACACAATCCTTGCAATATGATTTGAGAACAATTGAAGCAGCCACAAATAACTTCTGTAATGATAACAAAATTGGTGAAGGTGGATTTGGTGCCGTCTACAAGGTAACAATTTACTTAGTTCTTCTACAAGCATTCCAAGATTCCACTCTTTGTGCCCTGATGACATACGTACTTACTATGATATTTGGAATAACAATTAATTGTTATCACATACATTCAGGGTACACTTCCTAATGGACAAGATATAGCAGTGAAGAGATTATCTAAAAGCTCCAGTCAAGGTGAAGAAGAATTCAAGAATGAGGTTATATTGGTTGCCAAGCTTCAACACAGAAATCTAGTGAGATTAGTGGGATTCTGTTTGAAAAGTCAAGAAAAATTACTCATCTATGAATTCGTCCCCAACAAAAGCCTCGACTACTTTCTATTCGGTTTGACCCTTCTCAACACATAACTATGTCCTTGAATTTCCTTTCTACTTAATTTTATTACAAATATGATTTTCATGAAGGCTATTAATTTCTCCTCTCAATTGTAGGAAATTTTAAGCAATTACTTTTAAAATATATATGAATCATATTACACGTGCAAGCAAAGTGTGTATATGACAACTACTGTTCAAAATTGTGAAACATTTCATGAAAATATAAATGCATGTGTGAAACAGGAACTAAAGACGATAGATTTCAACTTAGAATGTGTTAGGATTTCACATACACAATTAGCACCTAGAATAGATAAAAGCACACACACAAGCAAAACGAGATTTATGTGGTTCGGCAAATTGCCTACATCCACAGGCGAAGAAAGACTATCTTTACTTCAAATTTGTATTACTCACTTTTTCTTTTCTCACAAACTCAACTCATTTTTTCTCTTAATTTATAAAGTCTTCAAAAATAATTTTGAGACACAAACCAAACAATCTCCACCTTGGCTCAAAATTCATCTTCACATGCTCCTTCATAGCTCCACATTGACTGGAGATCTTTAGACATTGAACCTAACATCTTCTTTCTTCTTATCATTCTTCGCTACTCAAATAATTCCAAGTTCAAATAATTGAACCTAGAATCTACTTTCGCATCACCAAATCGTACTCTTCTTACTTTTGGAATAAAGGTTGGTGCTTTTGCAATTGCTGAGACTTCTTCCTTCTCTTGATCTTCCAATTTAGTAGATCTCGAAACAGGCTTCCATTCTGTTTTTACAATTGCTCCACCTAGCATAGTATTTCCTAACAAAATATAGAGATTATTGACCTTCCTTCCCAAAAGCATAACATGTGGTCCCCTTCTAATCTTCATTAATCCATTATTCGATTACTTCACACTAATAACCCTTGGAATCCAATTCCGACATAGATTACTTTCCTTCTAAAACTTGGAATTAGAATATGATGTAAATTCATTTGAATTATTACCAAACCATTCGTTGTCTTGATTTTGATTGTTCTAATTCCCATAACATCACAAGAAGCATTATTCCCCATAATTACCTCACCACCTACAGATTTGTGTAGCAAATCACTCTTTATGAGGACACATATAAAAGGAACTCGCAGAATCAAGTATCCAATCCTTAACTTCTCCCTTATTATCAATGATTGATAATGATTCATCATTATCATCTTTCTTTCGTATCCCATGACACAACAGTAGCAGCGGATGCGCTCTCCTTTGTTTCTGGACAATACCACTGAATATGCCTTTTTCTTTCACACTTGTAGCATCTTTTCTTGGCACAAGATTTCTTGAAGCTCTAAATCTCTTCTTCTCTTGAGCAATAAGAGCTTGAGCCTGAGCATCACGACTCTTTTCATTATTCAACTTGTTCCACTGAGATTGTATCTCACATATAAAGCAAAGTATTGAATAAATGCTTATGGGTAGAACGTATTGATGTTAACAAAATAATTATTTTAACCTCATCACTTAACTTGACATCAACTTTAGATAAATCACAAATAATTTTGTTGAACTCACCAAGATATTCTTATAGGCTTACCCTTTCTTTTCTCCTAAAGTAATACAACTTTTGCTTCAAGACTAATCGGTTGGTGAGATTCTTTCCCATATACAAATTTTCCAACTTCTTCTGCATGTTCGCTGTTGAATCTTCTTCTATCACATCATACACAATATCATCCACCAACATCAATCGAATCACACTCATCCATTTCTTCAATCTTTTTCGGTTTCTTAACCAAAGTTTCTCCTAGTCCTTGCTGAATTAGTAAATCTCGCATCCGAACTTGCCAAAAACTGAAATTCCTTCTTCCATCAAATTTCTCGACCACGTACTTTCCTTCTGTAATAGTTGCTACCATGGCTCTGATACCACTTGTTAGGATTTCACACACACAATTGGCAACTAGAACAGATAAAAGCAAACACATGCACAAGTAAAACAAGATTTATGTTTTTTCGGTAAATTGCCTACATCCACAGGAGAAGAATGACTATTTTTACTTCAAATTTTTATTACACACTTTTTCTCTTCTCACAAACTCAACTCATTTTTTCTCTTTCTACAATCATCTCTTTTTTCCTCTCTACCTTACCCAAACCCATATATATTTGTAGTCTCTTAAAAAATCCAATTCCTTGTTGGACAAGAATTATACCACTTGTTTACAAGGAGTCACCAAATCATTTTTAAGTCTAAAAAAGAAATTTATTAAGACAAAATTTCTTTCACAAATTTCAGTCTTCCAAGACAGAAAAGGAAACTAATTTATGCAATTTTATCCATTATCTCTCCATGATTTTATATAAATTACTTTTATGTACATGATTAAGTATAGCAGTTGTACACATTGTTATATATATTGTAAAACATTCACATAGGATATCAAGTGAGAAGAAATGTCTTCCACATCTCTCTTTTTACTAATTTTTTTCATGAAATCGAAGCAGGCAAGGACTTGTGTTCAAAACTAATGGTCACCGATGATAAAAATCAAAACACTGTTGGAAAAATAGAAAGCCACTCATGAGGGAGTGTACTGAAGGATTTGTATATTAAAGTTATACCCTCAAACATTTGGAGTTTATATTTCCCTGATTAACTGTATTAAATTATTATATAATAGTATTAATTTTAATGATGATCAATGTACAGATTCAGAAAAAGGAAAACAACTGGATTGGTCAAGGCGTTACAAGATTATAGGTGGCATAGCACGAGGAATTCTTTATCTACATGAAGATTCGCAACTTAAAGTTATACATCGGGATCTCAAAGCTAGCAATGTATTATTAGACGGGGACATGAATCCAAAAGTTTCAGATTTTGGCATGGCGAGAATTTTCTGTTCGGATCAAACCGAAGGAAGCACAAGTAGAATAGTTGGGACTTTGTAAGTTCCTAAGTCTTGCATCCTCCATTTCTGTTTTCATAATCTAAATTAATAAATGTATAGATTACTGGTCCGACTAGAACGTCTAATGGAAAATAATACACTTCAGTATATGCATGCTTACTTTAATATATTTAATCTATGTTTTTTTTGATGATTTCTTCTTTGTTGAGCTTTTGTGCATCATGTCATCAATACAGAATATTTATCTATGATTAAAAAACCTTGTTTGTAAATTGTTTCTTCTTGTCTTCTTATTTTTGGATTGTAGTGGTTACATGTCTCCAGAATATGCCATGCAAGGTCAATTTTCTGTGAAGTCTGATGTGTTTAGTTTTGGAGTCTCAATTTTGGAAATTATAACTGGCAAGAAGAATAGTAGCTTCTATCAATCATATGGTCCTGGTGGCCTTTTGAGCTATGTGAGTATAGACAAAATATTGCAATTGTTGTTTTTCTTTGTCAATGCAAATATCGCATTTCAACGTTCAAGAAAATAAGTGTCAATTTCTTCTTTTTATTGCAGGCTTGGAAACATTGGAGAGACGGAACACCCTTGGAAATAATGGATCCTATTCTGAGAGATTCTTATTCAATGGATGAAATTATTAGATGCATCTATATAGGCCTCTTGTGTGTTCAAGAAGATATGGATGCCAGGCCCTCTATGCCTTCTGTAGTTCAGATGCTCAACAGTTCTCTTGATACCCTACCACTGCCTCAGCAACCTCCATTTTCTGTCCGTGGTAGGACAAATCAGTTGAAGTCCGCAAACAGAACGGAGTTGTTTTCTTTGAATGAAGTATCAATAAGTGAACTAAATCCTCGATAATGTTACTGAATTTATGAATGTTTGAAATTGTAAATAGTTAAATAAGCTAGCTGAAGCTCACAAGATATAGAAACGTACATACTGAAGTTGAAAGACTTCGAAATCAAAATAAATTCCAAATTGTGCATGCTATATATTTAGAGTATACAAGGTAAAAATTTAGTTAGTTCGTGTATAGGCATTTCAAAAGTTTTCAAATTTTTTAGAGCAAATAAAACTCTCACAGGGCACTTGCATAATGACGAGAACTGTTCAAAGATATGAAACATTTCTTGGGCAATATAACTGAGTATATGGAACTAAAACATCTGAAGTTCTAATTTTCTTCTCTTTAAATTTGTCTTTGAAGTGAATTGTTCCGCAATATATATATATATACTAGAAAAATATATATTATCTTCTCTTTAAATTTGTCTCTGAGAAATGATTATTGATTTTTTTATTTTTTTTTTTCGCACTATATTTATATATATACTAGAAAAATATATAATTATCTTCTCTTTAAATTTGTCTTTGAGAAATGATTAGTGATTTTTTTTTTTCCCCCCATAAATTGCTTTAGATTCTTTGTGTAGTATAATGAAGAAGTCGACAAAAATAAAATTTGTATATCTAACATCATAATATAAATAAACATGTTTATGTTGTGTTAAATACTTAATCAAGTGACTTCAATAATTAGAATTATATTGAGTAAACTCATTGTGAAAAATATTGTACAAGAAAGAAAAAGAGATTAATAAATTAGGCTCAATTGAAATACAAAGTTGCACTACTGTAACTCTCCAAAAGTAGATTAAGAAGAAGATGATAAATCATCAAGAATGACATCAAGGAGTCATGAAGGTCTTACCTAGCTAGCTAACTCATGTGCCACTCGATCTATTGCATAATCTAGGACACCAAACCAGCTAAAGACCCAAATTAACTTTTAACAGAAATTTTATATCATCAACAACAATGGATCAGATGTCTTGAGGGTAACTCCTCTCTTTTCTATCACCTTTCCAATAAACCAACTAATAATTGAAAATTAAATTTTTTTATTTTTTATTTTTAAAGAAATGCTATCAAATTCGAACCACAAATTCTGTGAAAGAGGTCAAAGATTGGATAATGTTAAATAACGACGTTTTGGGAGAGAGAAATTTTAAAGATGGTGTTACTGTTTGCAGGTAAAAAAAAAAAAAAAAAAGGTAAAGTACAATGACACCCTTCAAATTTGTCATAAGGATATGCATATATAAGTTTTTTATTTTGGATAATAGAACCCCTTAAGGTTAAAATGTTGACAAAAACACCATGTTGCCGACTGCCGTAGGGGATTGATCAAATTTGACTGTTTTAGCGACCTTTTTCACTTTTACGACTTTATAAATTGAACCAATCTATCTCAACATTGACAAGAAATTACAAGTCACCAACACATTGCCAAGTCACACTTCGCCTTCTCTGATATGTTTTTACGTTTGTCAATTTTATAGGACGAGAGGTCGGTGTGGCCGTGGTGGAGGCTAATCTGGGTGAGGGTGGTGCAGCCGAGGCCATTGCACTCGAGGCAGCCGCCAGTGTTGTAGGATAAGTGCATGTTGGAGTAGTTGCAACCAGTGTTGTGTCTGCCGGGAAGGATCAGTGGGTCAAATTTCATCGTACACGTCACCAAACTCAGGTTTCGTCGTAGATTCTCTGACAAAATCTCAGTTCGCCGTCGATGACTGCATCTTATTTATCGACTCACTGGATCTCTTAGCGATGACTTTCGTCTCCGTCGACAACGACCTCGTAATCTGCAATGACCATCTATGCTTTAATTTGGGCGTTCACTGCCGCCGCCAACAACCCGATCTTTGTCTTCACCGACTACATCTTTACAGACACGAGCAAAACAACAATTGCCGTTGAAGATGTTTCACGGGTGCCGATGGCATCGACGACATCAGGGACCCAACGGACCAGTACTGGTGGAACGTGTCAGTGGGGCGGCGATCGAGGAGGAGCTGCTTGAGGGATTCTTGGAGGATGGTGATGATGAAAGGCTGATGTCGTGGAACATATTATGGAAGGCTGAGATTTCGTTAGAGAATCTATGACTGAAAAGTGTGGAGAGAGAAAGTTGGGAGGAGAGAGAAGATAGAAGGTTGATGTGTAATAGTCCCCTGCTGGTCCGTCCCTGGGTGTATATATGATAAGACTTATCTTTTGCCATTCCTTTATCATTTTATTTGTTTTGATCACATAGGTATGTAATGATGGCTGAGATGTTATATAAATGTAGTGAGACATTAAGGCAGCATGTGATGCCGAAAACAAAAGAATATAACCAGAGAATTAGAAAAAAAGTTAGCGGTCAGAGAGGAAGCCGATAATTACACAGAGGTCCGAGAGTTGAAGAAGATACGAGGAAAATTGATTTTATGTGTAGGGTTCTGTAACGACCCAAACCCGGGGTCCGGATCACTAACTGTGTCCTAACCCGACCCGAAAATACTCAAGGGTAAAATGGTCTATATGACCCATACAAGCCATTTGGAGTCTCAATGAAGTCATAATGGTCATTTCTAATCATTTTAGATAGCCTTTGAATGAGAAAAACAACCCTAGTTGCTATTAAGTTCACTTAGGGTTATAATGGTAAATTGGTCTTTCGGACCGTGCAACTCATTGGGGAGCTTTTAACTACCTTCTAGTCCATTTTTGGTCACTTAGGATCATTGAAAATTGAAAAAAAAAAATAACTTGGTTCAAGGCCACTCGATTTAAGGCTAAAAATGGCAAAAATGTCATTTACGGCCGCCCCTCGGGACCTAACCACCATGAGTTTTGGGACCGACAAAAAAAATGAAAAAAAAAAAATAATGCCTCAGACTTAACCATGATCACTCATGGTGTGTCCTATAAGCGATAGTAAGACAACCCTGTGCGCGCGAGGCATGCATCGCGGATGGGACCTGCCGGATGAGTGCTCGTTCTCCTTGGACGAGTAATCGTCCCAACCAAAAGATGGGCTTTTTGTCCCCTTTTTCCCCCGGAACCTGTTCTCGAACCTGCCTTTGGTCATTTATGACCCATTTGCCCATGTCCCAACTCACAAGCATGCACAAATACGGAAGATGAAATAAATACATCAATTTACGATTATGGAAAATAAGGTTGAGCCGAATTCATTTAATTTACATAATCCTTATTACATTGAAAATGATCTAATTAAATTCAAGTTACAAACTTGGACCACTACGATCGAATTTACAATGCTTTGCAATTGAATATGCATCAACTATGCATTATTACAAGAATAACAAGATAATGCTTCCGTCAACCCTAATTACGCATATGAAAGTCCGTCATCAACCGCATTATCACCATAACCTAAAATTTTTTAAGGGAAATGGCGAGCACGGAAGCTCAGTAGGAAATGCCTAAAGCACTAACTTTGGACTCACTTGAGTCACACATCATACTTGCGGGACAAAAGAAAATCGGGATCATACATGGGATCTTCATAGCATTTAATTCAGTAATCAATCTCAACAATAACATTTAGGCATTTTAATACAAGTATGCACAAGATGCAATGCAATACTTTCATATTTCCCAACCTTGGTCTCAACCGACCCTAACTCGCCCTCTACCTGCCTTAAACTTGGTTTCTACCGACCCCAAACTCACATTTTAAAACCGCCAATCGACTTTACCGAGGCGAGATTGATAACTATCCTTGGTTCCAAATCCGGCAACCATTTGGGGCCTAGTATCAATTTTTTCACGTCCTAAATCAGCACGTGCTCCCTATAGGTCGAATTAGTACCGGACTCGCGAAATCCAGTTCTTTTTTATAAAGCCTTCTCAAAACCCTTTTTCTTAGTCAAATGTCCCAAACCATGCTATATATGTAACCATGACATGAATGTAACAATTTCTAGAATTCAACGTATTCATGGCATTCCCATCAATGTGATCATAACTTAACAATTACATTTAAATCAAGCACAACATGGCACTTTGGGAAAAATTTTGTGATTAGTTTTTAGAGATATTTTATTTTGAGGCATTAGTGTAATTATCTTTTGAAGATATTTCTATGAGGGACTTTTGTGCAATTAAGGAAAAGTTAGGACAAGTGTCTCATTTTCATTGGATCATGTGTTTAAAGGGGATTGGTGACATGTGTAGGGCTTAGATGGTGCAAAGTGTGAGGTTGGATGTGTGTTTTGTGTGGAGGGTTGAGATGGTGACAAGTAGATGTCTAAGATGAGTGGGTGTCTATGAGAGGTAGTGTAAGACAACGTAGTAAAGATATATCTCGTTGCCTTACATCTTTTTGTTTAGTAACTTCACCTTCTCCAACTCCTCTCTCTCTCTACCTCCATTGTTGCTCACCTTAAAGCTTGGTTTTGCCCACCTTCTCCTCTCTTTTTGACCTCACCATAGAAAAAAGAAAGCTTGGTGGCTCCTTGGTCTTCATCACCATTCTCTTGGATTTCCCATTGCTTATCTTTTCTTTGGATTCTAGAGAGGCTTTCTCTAGTGAGGTAAGAGGTGTAGTATGATTGTAACTTAGGAATTTTCATTGTGTTTTAGGGTTTATCATGAGTTATATGCCTAGATGTTGTGTGAGTTGTAGAAAGATTCATGAGATTTATCTTTCTTGATTTAAGGCTTTTTTATTGTTCAAAACATGTATATATGTATTGTGAGCTTTTTATTCAATTAGTAGAATGATATGTTGATGTATACTTCATTGAGATTTACATCATGACTTAGGTTATTATATTATTCAAATGCATGATTATATGTTTTCAAAGCTTATTGTTTATATAGAAAGATGATGGTTTAATGTTAGCTTCCTTGATGTATAATTCTTGTTGCCTTTGTGTTGTTTTTACCATTATAGCTTACTAGAGATTGGTATATACAATGCTTGTGTGGTTATGTAGCTAAGGTATTAGAGACCTTGAAGTGCTAGCATGAAACTAATCCTTTATTTGATTTTTCAATGTTGACATATACATTTGTATAATTTGCTTGATATCATGCCATATTTAGCCTTAAAGACTTAAGACATGGAATGCTTGATCCTTATATCTTATGTGTGCATGGAAGGTGAAACTTATGCATTTATAATGTAGCTATATTATGGAAATGATTGTTGATTTTGGGAGAAACTTGGGACATTGTTACTTTGATATAGCTAGGGTTCAGCTCTAATGCGGGAGGTATGAGGTCTCCCCAATTATAGTGGCCACTTGAGTAGTTCCCTGCGAATTAGTAGCCCGGAAGAGCTAATTTTGTCTTAATTGTGATGTTCTTATATAACCGGATGTTGTGAGTCCAAGATATCCCTATTATGTGATTTCGTATTTCATTTCAAAGTTGATAATCTTATGTCCTTGTGGCTTAGGGTTTTTAGTTTGGATATTCTAACCTTGACAACCTTTGTATGGTTTCGTATTTCTTTCCAAGTTGACACTTTGATGCAAATGTAGCTTGGAGTATTTGGTATTGGATGTTCCAATTTGGTTAAGTGCATTCTTATGATATGGATTCTATTAACATTGCTTCTAATGTTAGTTCTAGGATGATCTCTTAGTCCTTGAATTAGATGCATAGGAGGCATGTTCCATATATGTATAGCTTATGTTTTTCTTGGGAGGCCAATGAAACCTTAAGTTATCCTCATAATGCACTTTCCTACGGAGTAATTCAAATTACTCACCCTAGTTGATTTAAATATTTTTCAGGAAAGGAGGTACTCTTCTTGGATGCACATCATTAGCTCGGATTTACTCTACGTTTTGGACATCTTTTGTTTTATACTCACATGCAATTGTTAGCATGTTGTATGCATCTTTTGGGATTGTGAATGTGTAATGTAATTAGAAGCTTTTGTCTACAGCTTCCTTTTGATGGGAGGAAATGGATTTAGAACTTACTTTTAAGGGAGTTCCATAGTCATTTCCACCCAAGTACGTACTTTATTTTGTGTTACATTGATATGTATGTAGTAAGGAAAAAGGTCATTCACTTTTAAAGTATATTATTTATAACATGTTGTATTAAGATGTTTATTTACAGTATTCCATGTATTTGGGGGCATTTTCATCTTTTACTTTGCCTTATTTTTCTTGGGATGGATCTTAGGGAACCTAAGGATCATTTTTGAGCAGGTTTTTCTTCATAAAATTTTCCAAAAATCCCATCTTGTTACCCCCACGATCGCTCACACCCCCCGGCCCTTTGCCCTGTTGACTCAGCTTTGACCTTCTGACTTCAAATAGCCATATCTCTTTTGTTTTAACTCCGAATTGGTCCGTTCTTGAGTGCAACCTGACCATGTCGAAATAAGATTTCCAATGGTACCAATTACAATTTCAAATTCCACTCCTACCGTGAGATACTCACATTTTAGTGAGAAAGTGTCGAGATTTCGTTCGAACCGGGATAAGGTTCCCGTAGGTTATCACTTCCAATGACCATAGGACTTCTTATAAGGTTACCAAAGGATTCTTATTGGATTATTTTTTTTTTATCTCATTTGACTTGTTGGAAGTCAAATTTCCTTCTCTTTGGGTAAAATGACCATTTTACCCCTATTCTTGTTTTCGGTTCATTTCAACCTTAGTTTCCGCATTCATCTTCTATTCGAGTCTCGCGACTTCTTAGGAGGTCACTTTGTTATCTTAGAGGTAGTATTTATCTCTATAAACCTCTCCATTTTTCTTGCTTCTGTGTTTTGGACTCGATATCAGGTCGGATTTTGATCTTGTAGTTAATGCACCGGTTCTTAGAATTTAGGGCATCATACTCACACACTCAAACTGTGTCTTTTCCCAAATCACGGAATGAAATGATATGGAGACACCAGACTACCCCAAGATCTACTGGTCCTGATTCCTGAAACCAGTATTCTCTAAGTCATCTTGACCTAGTAATCCTCTTGAGTCCTCTGGCCTAAGAGAAAATTTGAACAAGTGGAAGAAATATATTTCTAACATATGATCAGTTTTAAAAATTAGGAAAAATTCTTTTAGCGCCAGTTTCACATCCATCACAAACAAAAAAAGTCTTCAAGTATTGCATTGTGGACCCACCATTTCACATTGAATGTACAATATATATGGGTTTTTGCTTGATAATTAACGTAACATGCACCAGCATGAGGGGTGAGCGAGCAAGGCAGATAATTAATCTAACATGCACCATCACGAGAGTACGATCTATAATTTTTAATGGAAAGATTGAGAGTTCGAATCCCACTAGAAGCATGTAAATAAACGCGTGTATCTGATTTAACTTTTAAAAGTTAGCAATAGACCTCTATAAATGCTCTCAATCTGTGGTGAGAGTTCGAATCCCACTAGAAACATATGAATAATGGGTGTGTATTTGCTTTATCTTCCAAATTGCAAAAATTAATTGAACATGCAGAATTTAAAACTTAGCAATAGGCCTTTACTGTTCTCAATCTCTGGTGTTACATTCATGTCCTGTGAGGTCGAGTTTATTCATTTCACACCTTATAGTATACACTTATTTGCTAGATTGTCTCGGCTTCAAATGAAACATTATTGAGGGTGTAGTTCAGTAATTGATGCTTCATTTAAAGACTATTGGATTGACTTGTAGATCTACCAGATTCCAGCTCTTTTCGTGCGTTGGACTCGGTTCTGCTGTGCGCAAAGAATGGAGGATGTTGAGGCATTTGTTGAGTAACAGAAAAAGTGTTGAGCATATGAACCACAGTTGCCATGGAGGACCTGGCATCCAAATCATCTTGAACACACAATAAGCCAATATTGATGCATCTAATGACTTCTTTTCTTGAATGAGAATTGACCAGAGTTGGATCCATCAATTCCATTGGTGTTCCATCTCTCCAATGTTTCTAAGCCTGTCACAATTTGTCGATTGATGTTAAAACAATGTGTCTTGTTCCGAAATGCAAGTTGATGGAGATGATGAGAAATAGCAATTGTAAGACTCAATTTGCACTCACACAGCACAGCAGGTCCTCGTCACCATCTGATTGATGGAAAGTACTATTTTTTTTTTCCACTTACGATCTCTAGAATTAGAACTCCAAAACTGAACACGTCAGATTTAACAGAGAATTTTCCATGCAATGCATACTCGGGAGACATGTAACCTCTACAATCCAACACCATTGATACAACAAAAGAATTAAGAACACAACAAAAAAAAAAAATTCTATTCAACACTAGATAGATGAAGCTAAATATTTTATGACGTAATGAACAAAGGTTAATTGAAAAGCAGCAAATAAGCACAAACTAGTACTAGCTAGAAGGAAGCTAGGCAAATTATAAGCATATCTGTTTTGTCCGAGTTGAAGAAGTTTTTAAATTATCAAAACTCTACTAATATGCCTCTTTTTTCTTTCTTAATTTTTTTTTATTTTTTTTAATTTTTCACTTAAAGTTGTAGTAGAGATTAGACATTCTGAATTTATTAATTCAAACTAAGGGAAAGAAGAAGCAGGGGATGTCGGGATTGTCGACTTACAATGTCCCAATAATTCTACTTGTATTTCCTCGAGTTTGATCCACGCCGAAAATCTTCGCCATGCCAAAATCTGAAATTTTTGCTTTCGTATTTTCATCTAAAAGTATATTGCTAGCTTTGAGATCACGATATATAATTCTAAGTCGAGAATCTTCATGAAGATAAAGAATTCCACGCGCTATGCCACCTATAATTTTGTAACATGTTGGGCAATCCAACTGAACTTGTTTCACCAGATCTATACATTGATCATAATAAAGATTCAATTAGTTAGCATTGAAAATTTTTGTTTTTGCAACACTACATTATAATGTGATTAAACAAACAGACAAATGCAAGGGTGTACCTAATTCTACGACTCACAATATTTGGAACCCAAAATAAATCAACATTTTCTTGAACTTTAAAACATCAATATACACCTTATTAGTATTATTATTAAGATCCAAATTTTGTGTTTGCTAATTCAGATAATGTATTGTCATAGACATCATGTATTTTTAAGGAATAGAACAAAAGACAAAGAAGAGAATTTCAATAAATATTTAGAGATGGCCCAAACCAAATAAGAAATAGTTAAGGCTTTTGTTGGGGACGAATTCATAAATAAGTAACTTTTCTTCTCCTTCCAAGCAGAATCCTAGTAGTCTCACTAGATTTCTGTGTTGAAGCTTGGCTACTAATACAACCTCATTCTTAAATTCTTGTGCACCTTGTCCGGAGCTTTTGGACAACCTCTTCACAGCTATCTCTTGTCCGTTAGGAAGTGTACCCTGTGTATATTTGTTGTAATGATAACCAATAATTGAATATTTTATCTGAAATTTCATATACTTGTCAATTGTATAATACAAGGATGTGTTGCAGCCTTTTTATACACCATCAAAATGGATTTCTGTGTTGTATAATGCAATACAGTATATAAGGCAGATATAAAATGACCATGCACTCCAGTGAAAAGAATAAAATACCCCTGACTAACCATGTGATCAAGAATGCATACTCTGCACCAGAGATTAGTCAATGTAGCCTGTAACTTGATCTGTGATACAATGTACCACCTTCAATGCAACTGATATGATCTAAAGCATGCTGGAAATTACTATACTACCCTTGATCCCCATAATTTATTAGAGCAGTATTGAACACAATGTACCTTCCTAATTGAATTATACACACCTCATATCATGTGTAAAAATACAATGTAGACCAGAAAAAGGGTTCTAAAAAGAAATAGACCTTTGAACATACTTTTGACATTGAAAGAGCAAACCATGAACAAACTAGGTACAACACAAGTTTGCTATTTTAATGTTAAATTGTTGTGCACAGTATTATTTTTGGTATGCCATTTCCATTCTATACTGCATTTTTTGTTTCCAATACTGACGGGTAATATGGTCATTTACTACATTTGAGAGCCCAATTTAAATTGAGTAAGGGAGGTTCATTGTGTCATAACTCAGGTTTATAGACATAGTTTAACAATTTTCTGGTGCAGCATATGCATTCTTGGTCACAGGAATATTCAGGGCAATTCAATCTTTTCACAAGTGTGTACAATAATTTTAAATGTGCCTTGTATGCTGCATTGCATCACAGATCACAAAATTACAATGTGTTGGTATATACACAGGCTACAACACTCATTTATATTATTTATTGACAAGTGTCCTTCAAAGGGCATTTTGGTCTTTTCAACTGTGTGGTGCACATGACAGACACGTGCACCGTGGTCCTAGTGAGAGAAGTATGTTATACAAAAATGCATTACTTCAGCATCAATCTTACATTTCCTTTTTCTACAGCTGGTGCATGTGTTGCTGAAATTGTGTGCGCATTAGTGGACAAATTAAATCTGCTGAGTTGGCAAGGGTTGTGTGGTCCATTCATTTAAGGGAATGTCAGAATATTCCCTCTCCAATGATTGGAGGATCTCTTCATTCTTATCCAGAAATAGGGCTGCATCATCATTTGGGTGAGCAATATATATCCCTTTATAACAGCAGCAGTTGGCAAGCTTAGTGGGTATGCATTGTGAGCCTCGTGTGTGCATTGTGCATGTCTCGAGAGCAAAGGATGAACAAGGGGTTCTGAGTGTTTAGATTCATGATTTGAGCTTCACTTCACCTCAGAAGTCTATAGTTTGAGCATGCACATCAAAGAAGAGCTATGATGCTGTTTTCTGGTGCTGAATCAAGGTTCAGAAGCTTCAAAATAGCTTGAGCCATTTTTTTTGGACACTGTAAAGGTTGAGGCAAGTGTACTTTATCATTTTTCAACTACAAAGCCCGTGTTTGCACTCATATTCCTACTGTAGTTGTGTTTGATGTCTCAGACCTACATTTTGATATTTTTTGTAGTTTAAGCCTATTATATTGATCTTTGATTGTTGTATCTTGCTGTGAGCTTGCGATATACCAGCTGAGCACGATTATATAGTTGATTAGAGGCTTTACAAGTTGGGATTTGGACAGAAAAGTGACCATATCAAAATATGGTATACAAAACCCTTGAGACTTGTGTTTTCTGCAAAAACCAAGCCTGTTGTGCACTATGATTGTGATAACTTGCTATACTCTCTTAGATTATTGTTTAAGAAAGTGTATATGGTTGATATAAGGCCGTGGAAACCAAAACCTGGTCTGTGTTGAAACGAATTTCCATACCACAGAACCAGCAGAATAAAGCTGTGTTGCTGCTGTTGGAGACTTTGAGTATTATTGTTTTACATCTGATTCATTATATTTGGTAAGCTGTGAGAGTTTATAGGGTCCAAGCAGGGTTTCTTAGGATAGGGGCAGTGTCGGGTGCACATGTGTGTGAGCTAGGGTGCATGTGTGCAGAGAGTGTTTCTCTTTCATTACAGCTAGTGGATTTGCACTGGTAGAGGTGAGGAACCAAGGTTTTTGATCCCTATTGAGAGGGATTTTCCTTGTAAACATCTTGTGTCACTGTGATTACTTGTGTAGTTTGATTTCATTGTGACAGATAGCCTTCACCTCACTTGTTGGACTTGAAAATTAGACAAAGTGTTTGTAACTGCTTTATAAAAGAACTTATTTAACCCCCCTCCTGGTTCATCAAAAATGATACCACAAAAATGTATTAATATATTATTGTCATGAAAGTTGTGAATTGTGATTGTTATTAGCACTCCTCATTATTGAATATGCAATATGGTTTTTGTTTTGATAACTAATGTGATATGCAGGAAATTTAAAACTTAGCAAATGCTAATACCTCAAACCACTTGATGATACATTCATATGGTGTGACCATTTATTTTCTAGGTTTATTAGGCTTGGAATCGAACATGATCCAGGGCGTAGTTCAGTCGTTTGATGCTTCATTCAAAGATTATTGGATTGCCTTACTTTTAGATTAATCTGACTCCACCTCTTTTAGTGTGTTTGGCTCGATTCCACTACGGGCAAAGAATGGAGGGTGTTGAGGCAATTAAGTAACAGAATAACTGTTGAGCATATGAACCATAAATGCCATGGAATATCTGACATCCAAATATTCTTGAACGCACGTACAATAAGCCAATATGGAAGAATCTAATGACTTCATTTCTTGAATGAGAATCTAGCAGAGTTGGATCCATTAATTCCATCAATGTTCCATCTCTTCAATGTTTTCGAGTATGTGACAATTTGGCAATTGATTTTAAAAGGGTAAAGTGCAAGAACCTTCCTACTATATTAAAATTGTGCACAAAACACTCATTCTATTTAGTACAAGCATGTAACCTCGCAACATTTAAAAAATATATGGAATTTGAGTCAATGTGGAGATTGTTGGACTGTGCTTTAAATTCTTGTGAAGAATTGCACTATGGAAAGTGGAACCGGTTCCATTTACAGTTTAAGTGAAACCGATTGTAATTGGGCAGAATGGTCTGAACAGTGATTCCAAGAACCGGTTGTATTGTGAGGAAAGGGGATAGTACATGTAATTCATGTATGATTTAATCTCAGAGTATGAGTAAGTGAGTAAAGTCAGGTAATGGTCGTACGTGAAATCTCTCTCTCCATGAACATAGCTATAGAGTTGGGCGAATCATGTCAAATATTTTGTTGTGTAAATCTGTATGATTATTATCGTCATATATGCTTGTAAAATGATGTGATGATGATACTTTCGTTGTGTATAATGAAAAAAGAATTTATTTACCATTGGGGAAATTGAAGGGAGTTAATATCCTTAACACATAGTACTACTTTTGTTGCCATTTATGATTTCGAAAATTAAAACTCCAAAATTAAACAACACAGACTTAACAAAGAATTCCCAGACACTCTAAAGAGGTGCAACCACCACAATCATGACATCATTCTTGCGCATATCACGACAGTGCATATCATGACATCATTCTTGCGCATATAAACTTAGTTAAATATGTCTTTGTATTATTATTGCTGACTTTGTATTACGTAGTACTTATTTTTCCAAAATAAACAACCAAGGCGCAGGGAATATAATGTGTCCAGGTTAAAAAGTCTGTGTGTCAGCAAAAAGTTCAAGGAATAATAACGGACAAAGACGAGACGTGTAGCTGGGGAAAATGAACAGACCAGGTTAAAAAGTCTGCGTGTCAGCAAAAAGTTCAAGGAATAATAACGGACAAAGACGAGACGTGTAGCTGGGGAAAATGAACAGACCAGGAAATTATATGTCTCTACATCAATTAACAAGACTTGTGGTGTGAGTCAATTCATCATTCATTAGTTGTGCCCAACAAAAGTCATTATTCCATCCCCATTATTCTCCCTACTGACCTTGTTACTTATAATGTAGGACCGACGTCGGTAGTCAGAAGTTTACCTTATTTCAAAGGATAAGTGCATGAAATTTCTATATACAACACGACGTACGAGGATAATGGGAGAATAGTTCCGCTTTGTCAAAAAGGAAGAACCCACCCTCCTTCCCTCGGCAAGAAAACTAGGCACTGAAATTGGAATTCCTTGAGCATGTTTGAAATTGCAAATTGCAAGTAATTTAAACAAAATTATTTTTTTTAAAATAATATTTAATAAGGGAGCCGATGTTACCAACAATACAATCATTCACAAAAAAATTTAAAAATAGTCCAAGTGATATCTCATCAACTCGTCTGTACCCAAATACACTATGCTCTTATACCGTCCTCCTTGCGTTAATGATTTGAATGAAATTACCTTTTATCCTTATTATATATATGTGTATATATATATATATTACATTTTATTCCAAAATGATAATGAAAAGGCAAAAATACCCAAATATCAAAATCACCTTTTCTCTTACCAGAATTAAAACCCCTATGTAATAAGAATTAAAACCCCTATGTAATCACCTTCAACTTAAAACCTACAATGTAAAAATATGATGTGTTATTATAAAATTTTAACTTAAATAAGTATCATTATTACTCTTGTTTGTTTGTATAAAATATGTCCATTTTCTTTTCTTTATCTACTTAGATTTTCATAACTCCTTCTGTAATGACCCGGTCATTTCCTTCCTTTTCTTTTTCCTTAGAATTTGACGGATGAATTTTTTTTCGTTGAAATTTCTTGTCTGAGTTTTGTTTCTCGTCGCTTAGTGTCGTCTCGAGTGTTTAGAAATGACTTCTGAGACTCTCTCGTATGGATTGACAACTTCTTTTGAGAACCGAGTCATTTCCGCATTTTCACTTTTCGGACACTATTCACTGTTTTGTCCTTTTCCCTGTTTCGTCTTTTCCTTGTTTGTCACTTTGTTGGCAAAACCTCACTTCTTGTGTTCGGAGTTGGTTTTTGACTTCATGTGTCTTCATCTTGAGTGGTTTCCACAAAATACG